TGGACTGGTTTTGGGATGCGGTGGGGGGAGGGGAGATTTTGAAACTTGTGAAATCCACATTGATACCATTGGGCTGCAGGGTTCCCAAGCGGAATATGAGTTGCTGTTCCTGCAACCTTCGGGTGGCATCGTTGTGGCACTGCAGGAGGCCCAGGATGGACATGTCGTCTGAGGAATGGGAGGGGGAGTTGAAATGGTTCGCGACTGGGAGGTGCAGTTGTTTGTTGCGAACCGAGCGTAGGTGTTCTGCAAAGCGGTCCCCGCTTTTAATTTCCAGATTTTGTTGTGGAACTTGAAGGGGCACAGAAAAGATTTACAAGGATGTTGCCAGGGTTGGAGGGTTTGAGATATAGGGAGAGACTGAATAGGCTGGGGCTATTTTCTCTGGAGCATTGGAGGCTGAGGGGTGATCTTATAGAGGTTTAAAACCTCATGACGGGCATAGATAGGCTAAATAGCAATGGTCTTTTCCCCGGGATAGGGGAATCCAAAACTAGAGGGCATAGGTTTAAGGTGAGAAGGAGAAGATTTAAAAGGGACCTAAGAGACAACTTTTTCATGTAGAGGGTGGTGGGTGTATGGAGCGAGCTGGCAAAGGTAGTGGTGGAGGCGGGTACAATTACAACATTTAAAAGGCATCTGGATGGGTACATGAATTTGTGGAATTCCCTGCCCAGTGAAGTGGTTGAAGCTACTTTGCTGAATGTTTTTAAGGCAAGGCTAGATAAATTTTTGAACTGTAAAGGAATTAAGGGTTATGGTGAGCGGGCGGGTAAGTGGAGCTGAGTCTCAAAAAGATCAGCCATGATCTTATTAACTGGCAGCGCAGGCTCAAGGGGCCAGATGGCCTACTCCTGCTCCTAGTTCTAATGTTCATATGAATAAGAAGGGTTTAGAGGGATATGGGCCAAATGCTAGCAAATGGGACTAGATTAATGTAGAATATCTGGTCGGCACGGACGAGTTGGACCAAAGGGTCTGTTTCCATGCTGTACGTCTCTACAATTCTATGACTCTAAATTTCATGATGGTGAGTTCTGCCATGGTGGGACTTGAAACCCTATTTCCAGAACATCACCCTGGGGCTCCGTATTAATAGCTCAGAGATATTGCCACTACCTCCCATACTGGAATGTCTTGTGCCTACACCCATTACCCAGCCTGGGATCTTGAGGAACCTATAGTTCCCCATTGCCTTCACCATGGCAACACCTTAGCAAATCAGAGTTGACATGCCAACCAATCAGCACCTTTTTTTCCTGTAGTATAAACTGTTGTCATCATTTGAGGCTTGGATCATTCTTGCATGCGTCTTGAAGAGGTGCAAGAAGAAAGATTTAAGCAACATGTGTCTCTGTGCTGCAAAATGTAAATGTGTTGTAAATATTATACTTTCTTCCAAAAAACTGACTGAAGTATTTCACCAAGGTCATTATGCTGCTCGTACTCAAGGGAAAACATAAATTATTCTATGCTCTTATAAGTAGCTAATGAATTTCTAACGACAATCTCAGTTAATAGCTGCACAATCATACATAGCAGAGGAGCATCCATCCTTCCATCAATAGTTTCTTAACTAAATCTGAAAAGCGTCCTCTTTTTCTGTCATTTAGTTGTCTTTCTATTCTCTCATGGGGTGTGGGTGTCATTGGCAGGGCTAGCATTTATTGTACATCCCTACTTACCCTTGAGAAGGTGGTGGTGAGCTGCCTTCTTGAACCGCTGCAGTCCACCTGCTGTAGGTTGACCCGCAATGGCCTTAGCGAGAAATTCCAGGATTTGGACCCAACAACAGTGAAGGGACGGCGATATATTTCCAACTCAGGGTGGTGAGTGGCTTGGAGGGGAACTTGGAGGTGTTAGTGCCCTGATTTATAGTTGATGAAGCAAGTAGTAGTGGAAACTGTTGAACCAAAAGCTCCCTCCATATTAAGGTGGAGAGGGAAATGGTAGGAGGACTCAGACTCTCTGGAGAATGATCGTATCTCAGTCTATCTATTGGGTTTGTGTGACATGAGCCATTCGGAAAAGTTTGAGGAATTACTTTGTGTAGAATTTCATTAGAGGTTATAACACAGAAACCGGCCACTCAGCCCAAATAGCCCATGTTGAAGTTTGTGCTCCACTGTTCTTCATCTAACCCTATCTGCATTGCTGTGGAAGGGCTTGAAAGAGTTAATGCCCCAAGGAGTGTGATGAGTACCTCCTAATGTGATATTGTGCGGGAACACATGAGCAAGGGACTCAGAACGGAGAAGCATCATGGCCACAACAGAATTAGAATTAGCTTTAAGTTTATTGTCATGTGTACTCAAGAACAGAGATACAGGAGTATGGTCAAAAGTTTACAATGTCGGCTTTCCCAGTGTCATCTTAGGTACAAAGATACAAAATCTTAGGTACTAAGTAGAAAAAAATAAAGAGATAAGTTAAAAGTTAAACGTTACAATCCTTCTTAGCATTAAGTAGAAAAAAATGAAGAATTACAGTCACAGAGTTGGTCACGTTTCTATAAAACTTATATACTGCCTTAATATGTAATCCACTAATTATTGTTCAAACCTATCAAAGACACTAATTTCTCCAAGTTAGACTAACCAACATACACCATACATAACCTCTTATTCCTTTCTCTCTTCTCAGTCTTTTTCTACTTTCCCGGTAAATGCATCTTAACCATATGTTAAGGCCGTAAGAAATAGGAACAGGAGTGGGCAATTTGGCCCCTCAAGTGTGCTCTGCCTTTCATTAGGATCATGGCCAATCTGACATTTCTCACGCCCACTTTCCTGCCTTTTCCCTGTTACCTTTGATTCCCTGACTGATCAACAGTCAATCCATCTTAGCCTTAAATATACACAAGGACTCTGCCCCCACAGCTCCCTATGGCAAGGAGTTCCAAAGACTCACAACCTTCTGAAAGAAGAAATTCCTCTTCATTTCAGTCTTAAATTGGTGCCCCTTTATTTTGAGACTATGCCCTCTGGTTCTAGACTCTCTGAGGGGAAACATCCTCTCAGCATTTACTCTGTCAAATTCCTTAGGAATCCAATATATTTCAATGAGATCACCTCTCATTCTTCTAAATTCCAGTGATTAGAGTTCCAATCTGTTTAGCCTTTGCTCGAAAGACAATCCCTCCATACTGGGGTTCATCCTAGTAACATTCTCTGAACTGCATCCAATGAAACAACACAGCAGGTCCTGACACAACCTGTCCATCTTCTCTCCCACCTATCCACCACACCCTTTCCACTTGACCAATCCCAACCACTCCCTACTCGCACTCACCTATTACCATCCTACCTACCTTCCCCTGCCCCACCCCTCTTCTCTCTATTTACTTCTGAGCTTCCTTCCCCCTCCCCATTTCTGAAGAAGGGTCCCGACCCGAAACGTCAACTCTCCTGCTCCTCTGATGCTGCCTGGCCAGCTCCACATTATGTTATCTCTGACTCCAGCATCTGCAGTTCTTGCTATCTCCAATGAAACAATACTTTT